CAATATAGGAGAAGAAAACTCTTAACTAGCTCAGTATAGTTTCAATATAAACCACAGATTGGCTCTGTGGGTGTTATCGAAACAGAAATTAGCTCGAACAGATGGGCATGCACAGAGACGAGCAGCCATGCTGAAGATTTTTAAAAAATTACACCGAATTGCAGTGTGCCTTCAAGTTAAATTTGATATCTGATGGACAATGTTTTTCAATAGTCGATATTTAATTCTATAAAATTTCAATTTCTTCGACTTGTAATTTCAATTGGAAAGAGAGGGGAAAATGAAAGAGAAAGAAGCATTCGGTTACAATCGTTACGTTTCCGCTTAGAAAATCGAAAGAGACATTTTCTGTAAAATACGACAATGTCGCCGCATGGGAAATATGACCAGAGAAAAAAAATCATTAAAGATACGTTAATGTATGCCAAGAACTGTTATAAATCGATCTGTGAAAAACAAATTAATAAAAAGGGAGTCATGACAATTTTCAATGATGCAAGTCAATTATCGAGCAATTTTTTAGAAGCATGTAACAAGTTTCAAACTTTATGCAGCGAATTAGAAAAGCGATAATAAATAAAGAAAACCTTGCCTTTGAAGAAACTAAGTTAAAGTTTGAATGCCAGATTTTTTAACTCACGAGCATAAGGATAAGAATGGCGGACCGGCTCAGTAGCTAATTTTACAAGCGAAAATGCTTATGCTTTTATATATATATATATATATATATATATATATATATATATATATATATATATATATATATATATATATATATATATATATATATATATATATATATATATATATATATATATATATATATATATATATATATATATATATATATATATATATATATATATATATATATATATATATATATATATATATATATATATATATATATATATATATATATATATATATATATATATATATATATTACCCAAGTATATGATTGATGTATATGGAATAAATTCCAATAATCAACAATTACTATTCTTAAAAGAGTGCTCAATACAGAATAGAGCTGATATAATTATTTAATTTAAAAATTATAACATAAATATGTTATAAAATCACTACAAAAATAGCCATTTTGTTTCAACACCTCCGGTGTCTTATCAAGTGGTGATGTTGACATTTTTGTAGTGATTTTATAACATATTTATGTTATAATTTTTAAATTAAATAATTAAAAGTGAATTTATTGAAGTCAATACTCAGAGGCGACAGGCTGTTTTCATGTTAGACGCAATCGTCAGGTCTGACGTTTGCGTAGCATGAAACAGCCTGTCGCCCTGAGTGTTGACTTCAATGTTCACTTATATTTATATTTACATACACTCTATCTCTGATATTGTACACTTTATCCCATAAATATAACGCACGTAAAAACTATATTTCTTTACAAGTTTTTCACCTAAAAAACGATGTAAAAAAAAAAAAACAAAACAAAAAAAACAACAGTTTCTAGCACTCATATTTACGTCTTTTAAATAAATATTTACATTTTACCGGCTTTTATTTTCGATGAGGGGATATTGTTTCATTTTTTAATAATTGAATTTACAATCATTATTTTATTTCCTAATTATTTGTTTATATAAAAAAAATATATTCATGAAACCAGTTTTTAAAAAATGTTATTTTCTTTAAAATGGAAAAAAATATATCCTTAAAAATTTTTTATTTGAACTAAAAATTTATCGCCAGTTGAAGTATAGACCTTCTTACAGATTTCTTTTGTAGTGTTTTTTTTTTTTACTTTTAATCACTAATTCAACTTTTTTCTTGTTCCAACCTAGTCGACGTATGACAGTCTACCAACCATTGTTGCTTTCCTGGCCAGGTAGTCAGTTAGTTATGTAAGAAAAATAAATAAGTAGCAAGCCAACTAACCACCTACTACGAGATCATTTCTTTTACAACCGACAAACCTATGGAGCATATTCCCGTTGTCGAGAAAGAAGAGCAGACACTAATTCCACTTGTATGTTAAAAGTGTTAATGTCTGAGTTTTGTTCATTACATTAATAATGAAGTAATAATAAGGATAATGGAGAGAAAGGTGGTAGATGAAGAAAAGGAAGAGACGAGGTAAATTGAGTTGAGATGGATATAAACGTGAGAAAGGGAGATAAAGAAGAAAAGTCTCGAAAAAAAATTGAGGGAAAGAAAGAAATGATAAATAAAAAGAAATTAGAAAAAAGCGGGAGAAAATAAATACATTAAGAATGACAAAGGAAAGAGAGGGGAAACGAAAATAAACTTTTGGAATACAGTAAAGAAAAAAACATTAAGAAAAAGAAAGAAATAACACTGAAGAAGAAAAAAAGATAGAGAAACTAAAAAGACTAAACAGAATAATAGTGAGAAGAACAATATGAAAGAAAATAAAAATAAAAAAAAAACTGAAAGCAAAAATAAGAGGAGAAAATTGAGAGAGAAGAAGAGTTCTAAGAAACTGGCAGAGATAGTTACATATTTTCCACGTGTCAGGAGTTGAACGTTCAGGCCCAGCTAAACAAATGCTGATTTTTAAGAAATTTTTAGGATTTGCGCAACAGTTTTTCTTATTCTCATTGACTGAACATCATCATCATATCTAAGTTTAAGAAGAAGAAAGAGAGAGAGGGGGGAGGTTGGGAGGAGGAGACAAGATCAAATAAACTAAAAACAAACATTTCAACGGAAAGAGTTAGTAAAAGAAAACTGAGAACTGCAGAATAAAAGAATGAAGCTCTAGAAAATTAAAAAAAAAGTAATACGAAATAAACTTGCCAAAATTTGGTAGCAAAAGAACGAAATGAAATCTGCTGAAAGAAAAAATACTGAAAACATGAAAGGAGAGAAAATAGAGAGAGAGAGAGAGAGAGAGAGAGACTAAAATTTTATGGCACCCCAAAAGAGTAACAAATTAGTCTGAACCATTACAATACAATAGTGAGTGCAATTCTTCCTTAGTGATCCACACTTGTAACCTTGTACCAGACTAAACGCCAAAGGGGCCTGACTTAATCTGATAGACCCTTATTCTCTTCCTGGGTATCCTACATTTGTGGTCTTGTGTCATCCTAAATTAAACTAGTTAAAAATACAGTGTAACCTGGATATAAGAGAGTTGTCGAGACCGGAGAAGAAGTCTCTTATATCCGGGTTTGGTCTATTATATATACAACATTAACACAGGCTCTAATTTGGGACCAGAGAAAATCTCTCTTATATCCGGGTCTCTTATATCCGGGTTATACTAGTGTAACGTTTTTAAAATATCCAACTTTTAAAATTTTTTTTACTAAAGATAATGTTTATGTTTGAAAAAGATTAGCAGCTCGCAACTTATTTCTTGAAGGAAATTTGCATTCACTATGTTTGTTGAAAAAAGGCGGTGGAGGAGGGGAGGAAGAAAGATTTAGTTAGTGACATGTTCATCAACTTTGGTACGACACTGGTTGGTAATTGAAACTAAATTTTAGAGAAATCTTTTTCTCTCTCTTTTATTTTCCTTCTCTTTTTTATTTTATGTATTTTTTTATGTCAGAATTTACTCTGACATAAAAAAAATACATAATTTTTTCAGTTGATATTTCTTTTTCTCTTCTCTAAGAAAAGCAAACACATACACCTCTCTGTCTTTCTTTATTTTTCTGTTTGTAAAAAAATAAATTTCTCATTGCTATCCTTTTCTTAGAAAGAAAAAAAGCAGTATTATCTTTTTTATTTATTTTAATTTATTTATACTGTTACTCTTTTCGTCTTATCACAACATATTTTTTTACTTCATCGACCCACACGACCGGTTTTCTCTTTCCTTCATCTACTTTTGTCTCTTTCCCCCTCTCTTTTTCATACGTTTTCTCCTGTCACTCTTTCTTACAACTACTTGGATCTATATCTTCTCTTTCTGTTTTATTACTATTTTATTCGTTTTTAACTAATTTATATTGAGATACGTTTTTCTTTTTTTCTCTATACTCGAGCTAGAAAGTTTTCCATAACTCTTGGAATATTATTCCACTCCCCAAATTAATAAATCAGTCAAAAGTCTAACACTACTACCAACACTTAAATGTGTGGTTGAGATAGTTGCGTATATTACCCAGGTGGTCCATGTTCCAGAACAGATAAGTTAAAATTTCAAATGGTGATTTTTAAGGCAAAACGCCCTCATTAATTAATTTATTTGTAAGAGCGCGACAGTGTCACTTGCCAAACCTTCTATAATATCAAAACTACAAAACATGTCTCTTTCTTTACGAAGCAATCTAATCTCGCAGACCATGACTAGTGAATTCAACCCTCACTGGGTGCTCTACTTTGTGCCAAACTAAAGTAAACAAAGCTTAGTTAAAAATACCTATCTTTTGATTGGTAAATTTTTTCTTTTTCTTATCTATCTATTTGATTGACTTTAATTAAAAAAAATATTTTGCAAACGATAGCAGTGAGTTTGATGATCATTGGAAGACTTAGTGTCTGAAAAAAAGGCACAAGAAAAAGTCTTGTAGGCTTACAAAATTATAAGTCATATTCGATTTATTTTATACATAATTCAAATAATTTACAACATTTTAATAAGGAAATTTATAAATAAATTCTATAAATAAGCCATTTATGGTTCATTTTATTACTATAAATTAAATAAATAAGATTTAATTTCTCTGATTTTTCCTGCCCACAAACCGAAGTTGACATTTTCTACCCTAACAAAGCATACCTTATGATTTTTCTTTTGTGACTTTTTTCCTTTCAACCTTACACATTATTATTCATTCATTGCTCTTTGCCGTTGAGCAGTTGTTAGCAATCTAGCCTCGCAGAACAGACTATTATTACAAGTGAAGCGAGTTCGACCCTCACTAGGCGTCCCACACTTATAGCCTACTAAGCAAAGTTCAGCACCTAAAACAGGAAACTTAAACTTTTATATACACCTTCAAAAATGAATAACACGACTCCACCCTCTATGTGTATCCCCCTCCCTGCCGCTTTTCATGCACTTCTTCCTTCGCTTCCTCATTCACCTACGTTATTCTCCTAATGTTTTTTTTATTCCTTACTTAAATTCTTGTGATAATATGCGAAACATCAAATTTTATTCAAATTTATTTACAAACTCCATCCCCTCTCTTTGTGGCTTTATCTTTTCTTTCTCTCTTTTTATATATGTATGGACGTCTTCTCTGTCTTTCTTTCCCTTTCTGTCTCTGTGTTCCACTCCTGTAAGGATTGAAAAGCAGTTACACAAGCTAGCTGTTCTTTTTGAATATCATCGTTTTTGAGCGCGCATATATTCACGCGCGCACACATACACAAATATATATTAAAAGAAAACGTACACAAGCACGCACATTTGACGGCGCAACTATATGCGATACACTAGTCGCCAGTGTATACTGTACATAAACAATATTGTACAGATGTAAACAGTAAAAGATAGATAGATTGATGTGAAAGAAAGAGAAAGATAGTCATACTGCGAGCAGCCAAAAACAAGATACAAGCACGATGGAAAACTTATAAAAGGAAAGACAGAAGAAACAAGATTTTAGTTAGCTTCAATCAGTCTGGCTCAAGGCCACAGTAGGAAATACATTTGAAGATCGATGAATTTGCCTACGAGATAAGATTGCTAACCATTTTGCATTGGCAGACACCTTGTAGGGGACGAAGTTTTAGCTTAGAACAGCCCACAAATGCCCAGCACTCAGAGAGGACCGTATTCACTGCGGTAGAATAGAAATGATCTGTGAGTTTGCTGGCCATTTGAAACACAGAAAGCCTTATCATAGTCTGACACAAGGTTATCAATGGGACACTAAGGAAATGACTTCTGTGAGACTAGCTTGCCTACTATCGCTTCAAGTTCGTTAGCTGCTCAAGAAAGAGATGAATTTTTAAATCAAAATAAAAAACATTGTTTTTTTAAGCTTAATTAATCTCTAGCATCAGGTTAATTACGTTTGGATTGAACCCATTCCATTTAGAGAATTGATCTCTTAAAAACTAGTTTGCTAACTATCGCGCCACAACAGATGTCTTTAGCGTTGTTGAGCACAAGGTCATAGTGAGGTACCCATTGAAGATCGAACTCGCTACAAGAACCAACTGGTTTGCGAGACGTGCCTGCCAATCGATCAACCATCTCGTCACCTTGGCGCACAGTTTTTAACTGATACAAGGTCACAATGGGACACTCAGTGAAGATCGAACTCCCTAGCCAAGAGAGACAATAATGACCAAATCGCACTATGGTAGGCGCACGAGAAAGAGGGATGTTTAAAAGCTAAAAAAATGATTTTCACTTTTCTTTTTCATTATGCCACAGTACGCTGCAGACAGTCCTATAAGAAATGTCAAAAACAGTCGTTTTTTTATGTTTGTGCGTGTGCTTTTAACGTGCTATCCATGAATACACTACACACACACACTACACATCCAAGTACATATATTTCACATCTAATAATGTCCACTGTCCTTACAAAAGATATTACATTATTAATAATTATACGATTATGAATAAATTGTTTATAATAGACATTCATTTAAACTTGACTACAGCATTTTCTATTTATTTAGAAAAGACAAAATAAATCACGCGCGTATCTCTTGAACATTTTAAGCGATACACTTTTACTTTTTTAACTCTTAAAAAAGTAAAAACACATACCTCTTCGATCTTTCTTTCGCTTACTCTCTCTCTCTCTCTCTCCATTTTACATTCATTTTCTTTTCTCTTTTATTTATACAAAAAATTAACTCTCTTTCTTTTTTAATTACTTTTTTTAAACACAAAATAAAATTAAAAAAACAAAAAATCATATCCGTTTGTTCTCACCACAACGACTAAATAAATAAAATCGCTTTTCTCTAACATTATATTTTTCTCCCTCACGCCCTTGCATTATCTTTTTTTTCTCACACATTTACACACACATCATATTTCAGCCACTCTTTATCACACAGTATGCTTACTCTTCTTACACTAGTGTACACTCATACACACTATCACTCATTTTTTATGTACACAAAGACAGACATTTTTCTGTTTTGTGTATGAGAGTGAGTGTTTTACGTAATAAGGACATTACTTTGTTTTATTATTGGTATCTGTCTTAACTCAGTCTGACACAAGGCCACAAGGTGCCCTTAACTTGTAAAAAAAAAAAAACTAATCTTAGAAAATAATACTCGCAATATTATTGAATAATAATAATAAAAATAAAATAATTAACAAATAATAAAAATATTAATGAAAATAATACCCTACAAAATTAAGTTTTCTGTGTCTGTGTGTGTGTCTGTGTGTGTGTGTGTGTGTGAAAGTGAGAAATAAAGAGAGGGGATGAAGGGGAGAAGGAGAAAGAAAAAGAAAAATAACATAGTACCTCGCTGTAGGTAGTGGTTAGCACGCTAGTCTCGAAACCATATTTTAGTGTGCTTAGTGAGTTCGATCTTTACTGGGTGCCCGACTATTGCTTTCTAAACCAAGTAATTTTTTTGCGTTGCACTGTTTGTTATTTTTATTTAGTTAATTATGAATTTTTTTCCCTAATTTTGTTAATGTTATTAAATTATGAATTCATACTACATGTAAATTTCATATTCGTTTATTTTTGTTTTTTAAATTTTAACAGATTTTTTCTTACGCATTGTGACTGTCTTTTTTCATCATTAGTAATGTATTGATTAAAGAACTTACAATCATTTTATTTTTATCTTATTCAATTAAATATAAAGCAATTTTTTAAAAATAATTCTAATAATGGACAATTATAACTTTTATTACTTTCAATGCATATCAACGTTTTCTGACAGTGAAAATAGCCGCATTTATTTATGGGTTGGGGGATTAGAGAAAAGAATGAGCAAATGCAAGCTTTTTTAAGTAAATAAATTTTAGGCACATGTAGTACGTGCGTGATTTTTACATACGCGCTTGCGTGGATACACACACACAGAGCCTTTTTCTTGTACAATTCTTTGCTTTTAGTCTCTCCGTCTCTATTTTTCTTTTTCTCTCTCTTCTCTTTCTCTCTCATACGCGCACTCGCACGCACACATATTCCTCCCTCTTCTTACACTCCGTCTTACGTGACACTTCTCTCTTTCTTTCTTTCTTTCTTTCTTTCTTTCTTTCTTTCTTTCTTTTTTTTCACTCACTGGCTTTCTCTGTTTAACTCACATTAGACAGAAAAGAGAACGAATACATCCGAAGTTGAAGTAAATATTTTAGATAAGATAACAAGTTTGAATTCCCAACTCAATGTGTTGTTATAGGTGATTATGATTTCACTTTTAAATACTTAACCCTCATTGTCTTCCTTCTCCCCGCCGTCTCTCTATTTCTGAGAATTGAGGGACTGGAAACAAAAGCGAATAAAATGACTATTCTTTTTTATTTATTTACTCAAAAGGACTCTCACTCAATATTTTAATAATAATAATTTAATAATATGATTTTACTTTACAATACATAGAAGCGTTTAGAAAAAGCGTGGCTTTCTTTCTTAAACGGCCTTTCCTTTTTTTTCTTTTTCTATCTAGTCTCATAGCAAAATTATTTATTTACTTACTTAACTTATCCCTTTTTTATTATTTTAGCATTGATCTTTCTTCCTTCATTTCTTTCTTTCTTTATTTTACCCCTCTGTCTTGAGATTTAACATGTTTCCCTCGTTATTTTGTAGTCATTTCCTTTCTTCCGCACTTGAGAAAATTTAGCCTCCAAATATAATCCTTTCCCTTTTTTTGTAACTTATGTATCCCTCTTTCTCTCTCTCATATGAGAAAGTGCTGAAAAGTTCTCAGCCTTTTCTACCCTCAAAATTCTATTTGGTCAGTTGGCCAGAATTTGGGCCTGTAAGTTTCCCACCATCCCTACCCCTTAGAATATTATTTTTACTAAGTTTTTTTTAGTCTGATACTAAGCTACAATAAGTGTAGGGCACTCAGTTAGGATCGCATTTATTATAAGTAAATACTCTGCTAGAGCCTAACTCGCTGAATATTACTACAGTGAGCCGTTTCTTCTTCTTCACCTTTCGGTCTTTACTCTTTACTTTACTAATCTTATCATAGTCTGGTACAATGCAACAATTATTGAGTACCCAGGACGAACGCACTCACATCTGTCAGCTAGATAAATTCGTCAGTAAAATGCTCTCTCTCTCTCCTTTCTCCTTCTTTTTTCTCTTGCCTCATGCTAAACATTTAAAAAAAATTATTTTCTTGTTCTTTTTGACGACCAGTATTCATATCAGCTTCCACGTTTTTCTTTTCTCTTTCTCTGTCATAGCAAATAATATGTAAATAAATCACAATTCCCCCTCCATTTTATTTTTATTTCATTTACCTTTCTTTTACCTTTCAACTCTTCCAAGACACTAACTTCGGCGTTTAAACACTTATTCCTGTCAATTCTTTCTGTCCAATTCCGTCACTAAATCTCTCCCACCCTCTCCGTCACTTTCTTCAATTTGTCGGTTTCTCTTAAAATAATTTGTGAGAATTAATTTCCTTTATATAGAAATTCCATTTTTAATTCGAAATATTATTCTCCCCCCACCACACTTTACTTCGCTCAGTTCATTTTTCTTTCGATATCTATTGACTGAACTAAACACAAAGTGGTTAAAAAACTAACATGATTTGTTTTAATCCCCAATAAATTTCATTTTCATGAAGTGCTCGATAAATCTGACCTTGTGTCCAACAGATGCATTATTTAATTAATTTCTATCTCTTCTTATTTACCTGCTTTATTAATGTATCTTCCTCTTTATTGTTAATATTGTATTTATTAGTTACTCCGATTATCATGTTGGTTAAGGTAAGGTCAAGGTCAAGGAAACCGAAACGTATATATACTATTCAATAGTGCACAAAAATATTTTCGCGATCGTCAACTATAATTTGTTCGTTATCGAATGGATTATCTATTTAATAGCTTAATTCGACATAGAGACAACTTTAAATGACTTAAAGAAGATAGTAAGATTATGTTGCGCCAATCTTCGAAGATTCCTGACATTTTACCTAGGTTTAACTTTAAACATCGACCACTGGAACAGATACAAAAAAAATAAACAGCTATTTTCCAGTCCAGCAATCATGCTGTCTTTTTCTAGCATTTTTGTTTTTCCAACTTCTGTTTGGTTTTTTACCCGTTTTTGATTCAGATCCTTCCGTTCGTCTTCTATTTTCTTTTTAAACTGTTTTGTACACTTCTCGCTTATCTTTTCTATTTCTTTCTAACCTTCCGAAACACTTCTAATCACTTAGAGTGGGTTCTTCTCAGTACCTTACGTTAACTCTTTAACCTTCCTCAAAACAGTAAACACTTAACATTTCTTTGTCTCCCTCTCTCTTGGTTTGCATATAGTATCAACGCCAACTCCAACATTCTTCTTCTGTATATTTTACTGGTCCTATCACGTCTGTCGTTTCAATTTTATATTTTAATAACCGAAATTTTTTTTAATTCAGAGATCGTTATGAACGAAAAATAAATACTTTTGATGATTTCATACATTTCTCTACTCTGGTGTCTAAAGAATATGTGAACTTTTTTCTTTTTTCTGTGCATTTCATTATCCCTTGTCTTTCTTGATTAAACTTCACTCGTCGTTTAACCCTTTGCTTTCTCTTCTCTCCATTTCTAAGCCTTCTTTGCCTTCGTCACTTCCTCCACACAGTACATCCACCCTTTAAGATAAATACGAACATCTCTTTCTAAATAAAAGATTTATCCTGTCAAACGTAGCCCACAAGGTCTTAGTACCCGATGAGGTTCAACTTCACAAAAATAAATGAAGAAATTCGGAAAAAATGTAAAGACACGAAAAAAAAAAAATAGTAGGCTAAACAGTGGCACAGAACCCACTAGAGCGAGTACTCCATGAAGTTCGAATTCCGAAATGAAAATCAAATATAAAAAATAGAGAAGAAAGGCCTACAAATATTACGATAGGAGTGTTGAAATTTTCTCAGCTTGACCAAATTCCATAGAAACCTGACCAAATTTTCGAAAATTTATTTATTAAATTTTTAAAGAATTTTTTCTTGATCGGACTGAAAACAACTTTTCAGCACACACACACACACACATATATATCTTTCATTTTTTCTATTATTTTAAAGTCGACATCGTTTCTTCTTCCTTCTTTTATCCCTCTTCTTTACTTTCTACTTGTTTCAGTTCTTTTTCTTTATTCACTTCGTCTCTTCTCTCATTAATCTTTCTTTATCACTACATCTTCCCTTCCATCTCTTACCCTTCCTTTACAAATTCTCTTCTCTTTCTATCAGGTTTCTATATCACTGTCTGTTCAGTGTTTGTGTGAAGTCCTCAAAAAGTGGCCTAGTCCATCTATTAATATCTTAACCTCCTTTCCTTCCTATTTAATCTGACTGCCCAGAATATGCCTATGTATGGATTGCACTTCACCCTTCTTTATTTTATACCAATAACAACCGGGTCTCCTCCCACTATCCCCACTTCGTACCTTCTCTCAACACTTCTTACTCGCATAGAAGCTTTATGTCCTATCTGTATGTATGTTAGTCTGTGTGTGCTTGTAAGCGGGGATAGAAGATTCGTTATTTTTCTCTTGCCTTATTTTTATTTTATTTTGTCTAGACTACCATCAGTTCGTTTAGACTCTTCTGTTTTTTTCTAGAAAAAACGCGAGCGGCACGCACGCACACTCACGTGTACGCATACAACTGTTCTCTCTAAGTCACCCACTTTATCAGTCGTTTCTTAGAAACATCTCCCATTTTGAATTTACATTCTCAGCAGTTCATTTTATTTTTAGCATTTTTTTCACTTCAGTTCTTTTAAGTATTATTTGCCAACCCGTCATAAAAATTTGATATATATTGCATAAATTTTGTTTTTATTTTCTTATTTCTAAAGATTCAAGTCAAGATGATTGTCCTCTTGCCTAAGAGTCGCGTATTTTCCCACCGTCGATCGAGTTCAGTCAAAATGAAATAATTCGAGGTTTTGATGCAGCTCTTTCCACGTGTAGTAGGATTGGCGCTATGCAATCTTAGTTCTGTTTAGCCTTGCGCCGCACCACTAACTTTTAGTTTTAAGGCTGGTAAGCAAACAATAAAAATATGATATGATGACTTGGGTCAAGGCTCCAAATGCAGATTTTCAAAACAATCATTTCCTCGCCCACCCTTCCTATCGACGTTGGGGCTAGACATATTATTTTTTTTTTTTTTTATTTAGATGCTTGTAAAATTTACAGTACTCAAATGACTGTGTTGTTTAGGTTTAGCTCGTATCTATTTTCCTCAACATAGAAAGCTCGTAATAATTTTGCATTGTTGTTCTATAATGACAGAAATGTCAGTTCATTCTTAAAGTTTTTTTTTTTTTATTACATGTTGTGGTATTTATTCTCTCACGCTTCTCCTTAATTATTATTATTTCTTTAATTTTCCCTTTTTTTTTATTAGGAAGAAGAAAACTTATCGTTTAGTTATCAATTCTTTTTACAGAGTTATTTTTCTTAATGAATTTATTTCCTCATTATTTGTATTTTCTAGCATTCTTTCATCTTTTTTAACTATTTTAATTTTTCTCTTATTTGATGCTTTCTCTCCTTCCTGCGTTCTTTATCATTGTTACTCTTCCTGTCGCACCTTACTCTCCACCGAGTCACTAAAAAGTTCCATTTCGCCTCAATAATTTCCTTCGCCTTTATTTCTGTTTCTTTCGCCTTAAAAATCTAATAAAACTATATTAACATTCTCCATTCGATATGTTAATGATGCAAGGTGTCCCAAATCTAAAGTCCGAGTTTATTCATTTTGGAACACCTTGCCTTATTCTATTTTCCTGCATTTTCTTTTCTTTTTTTTCTCGTATCCCCCTCCACACACTTTATTTCTATTTTCCTTCTGTATTATTCACCTTTCCAACACCCTTTCTTTTTCTACTCTCTCACTTCTACTCTTGTTATATTTTCATCTGCCCTTACTCGTACTATGTTATACCCGTTGTCTTTCGCTGTACTTCACTTTTCACTCCCTCGATAAGTAATTTTCTCTTTTATTCCTCTTTCTGTTATTCTATCTGGCCACGTAAGTTTATTACTACGTATTTTTTCTCTCTTTATTCCCCGCCCTACCTCCTCTATTTATCCTTAGTTATTTCTCTATCATTTCCCTCTCTATGTAAACATCTTAATTCCTCAGACGCTCTCGCGTTTCATTTCAAGAAAAGTAACCCACTCCTTTTATATCACTTTCCTTTCTCTTTCGTTTTCACTCTGTTAATGTTGTTATTACCTATTCTTTCCTCCTCTTTAGTTCTTTATTTTCTTGTTTACCTTCCTTTATAGTTTATTTCCTCTCCTTCGTTATCGGAATATTTTTTCTCTCGCCTTTTCTGTGCACGTCATTATTATTCCTCGCCTTTTCCCTCTCTGTAAATCACAGTAACAGCTCGTGTCCCTCTCTATACAAAACATCTTCCTCATTCTCTCGATTCCTCCCGTCTATTCCTTACGTTCCTCTCTAATATTCTCCTTTTATCTCTCCTCCCTTGATATTCGCTGTAAAACCCAATCCCCCTCACTTATTTCATTTACTTTTTATAAGTCAGTGTCACCGCCCCTCTTAACCCTCCTTCTTATTTTATTGTTAGTATCCTTCACCCTCTCAATATCAATCTTGCTTTCTCTCGCTTGTCTTTCTCTTCATTATCAAGTTTATACATACGCTTTGAGCTTTCCTTAACCAACCTCTCCTACGCAAAGTCGACATCACTCCTACTATATCTATTTTTAACCTCCTACTTTTAACCGACTTCTAATTTGCGTTTTTGTGTCTCTCCTACTCTTTCTATATTTACTTTCTCCTACTCTCTTATATTCGCATCACCCTCTCTTTTTAATCTATTTCCTACTCTCTCTACATTAGCTGCATCTTACTCTGTATTCTCACTAACATCCCTCTTTCTATCTATTCTATTATACATTTAAAAAAGAGCTTACTCCCTTTCTGCTGATATTTGTCAACGCTTTGTCATTTATCTTCACTCTCTCTGTTATCGCTTATACACCCTTTACCGCAGTTTTTATTCTTTCTTCATTTCTTTTCTCTTTTTTTTTTTCCAAATCATTTCCACCTTCCAATTTTTTTTAATCTATTTTGGCTTCTCCCTTCCGTTATTGTCTTTTAACTTGCATCCTTTTCTTTCTTTCTTTCTTTTTTTTTTTTTTAAAAAAGAAACATACTCTCTATTTCTAGTTTACTCTTTCGATATCAACGAAGCTTAGCTTAGTACGACACAAGGCCATGTTTATATGATAGTAGGAAGACTAAATTTCGCCAAATCTACTTCGAAAATAAAATCAGCGCTCAAAGAAAAAATCATGACATTTCTTTACCGGGGTTTAAACACCGAGTTGAAAATGACCAATTAAATCATCTCGGCAAAAAACCAAACTAACTAAATAATAAATACAATTATTACTAAAAAAAACTTAAAAGCTAAGCTGAATACTACAGAATAAGATGGCTTCAACAATGTACAGCCACTAAGGATCGAACTCACAACGCTAGCAACGATCTATTGCATGACCATCTTGTTAACTATTACTCTACAGCAGGTGCCTATTTTTCTCTTTTATTTTCTCCTGTTACCCCAACTACCATTTTAATCTATTCTTTTTTTCTCTTTATTCTTAGTCTTTTTCGACACTAAAATATTATTGGCTTGGTTTCTCTTTATTTCCTTTTAACGTTTTTCACCCTCCCATTCTTTGTCTTATGTTTCTTAAGCTTTTCACTCTCTCAGTCTTCTTATGAGATCTTTCTTTTCCACTCTAGTCGTCAGTCATAACTGCCTCACTCTCTTGATTTTTTTTTCTCCTACTGTGTTTATTTTATACCTCCTACTCACTTTATTCTCTTTATTACTTTACGTCCTATTGTCATTACCATTTGCGTCTTCTACACTCATTTCCTTTGTCATTCATCTCTTTTTCTTTTCTGTCATTACTCTCTCGTTCTGATTATTCTCTTCTCCTTCGCCCGCCTTTACTTTCTCTTTCCCCCCTTCTCCTACTTGCAATAAGCATCGACTTTTTCCTCTCAGAACAGTTATTTTCCATTCCGACAGCAAGCACTAAACTTTCCACTCTCTCTTGAACTCCAACCCCACTCAAGCTTTTCAAATCCTGCCTGTCACCCTCTTCTCACTTTATATCTCCTACCCTCTGCATTCCCTGTACTTTTCCACTTCTTCAGTCTTTAGTCTTTATTTAACCTTCTCCCCCCCAGTGTTTTGCTATACAGCTCTCTCTACTTCTCCGCTTTTCTCTTTGTCTCCAACTTAAAATACGTTTGCTTTTCTCTCTACCTTTTTTTAGTCTTTCTTTTGAGCTTGCTTAAGCAATACATTTTTTTTTTTACCTCGACTTATATTGTAATACGACTTATTTCAACTTTCAACGGCATTAGTTACCACGTAGCTACTGAAAACTAGTATATGAAATAAAATCACAAATCCAGAAAAATCGGTCATGACAAACTCAACCGAGACCATCAGGGGTTAGGTCACGTAAATCATTTTATATTTATTTTAACAATAACTTTACATAGATTTTTTTTTCTTTCTTTTTTAATTATTATTTTTAAAATAACATACTAGGAATTAGTTTCCTTTGGTGAATAGACAGTTGGTATTATTATTGAAAAGTGGGGGGAACTAGAACACAAGTTTTTCAGAATATGAAATTAGGTAAAAAATATCCTATCTTTGTTCTTTATGCTTTAAGCTTTTCAACCTCTTTCAATTTGTTCACCACCACTTAGCCTCCAACCATTTTTACAAAGCCTTTTCTACTTGCTTTTCTTTTTCCTTTTCTTTTCTCTTCATTCTTTTTGCACCACCCCAACCCTCCGCATTTTTTTTTTTTTTTTTGAATTGATTACCGCCCTTTTATTTCTAAATTTTATGCTTGTTCCACCCGCGCTACTTTTCGATTTGTCAACCACGCACTTCGCTTCTTAGCCGTCCTGAAAAAAACTAAAACCAAATCCACCCAAGCCTCCTCTCAGTCCACCCCAATCCCTACTTCTGGACGTGTCACCCAAGTCCATAACGATTACCACCTCTCATTTCTCTACTACTGGTTTCCCTCCTTTTTCAACTTTTCCTTTACTTCTCCCATTGGGCTTTGCCGCCTTACTTTCCTTTTCAGTTGAAAACAAGAAACTAAACACTATGTTTGATTAATTTTAAAACTTTTTCGCCATCTTTTGCTGTCATTATAATTTCTTTTTTTCACTTTTTGTGTGATTTTTCTTGCTGCTAATTCTTTATCTTCGTTTCCATACTTATTACAACTTTGTTTCTCTCTCTCTCTTTTATTTCACTTCTCTTTTTTTCCACTTATTTCAATTTCTGCAATTAATTAATTTTCTTTCTTCCTTGGTTTAATTCGCGATTTTCGGTACTAATTTTCGTTTTTCTTGCTTTAATTTATTTTTTATTAAACTTTAACTTGTCTATCTTTTTTTAATCCACTTCTTTCATTTTCATTCTTTTTCTTTTAGCGTTTTTTATGCTTAATTTTTATTTATTTTAGTTAATATTTCTTTCTTATTAGTACACACTGATGTTTTCTTTCATTAATTTCTCTTTTTTAGTTTTCATTTTAAATTTCTATATATATATATTTTTTACCACGCTGTTCCTAGGTTTTCCTTTCTCGTTTCCGTCTTTGTTTTTTAGAATTCTTTCTCATTTTCTTTTTTCTTATTCCACCTTAAATTTCTTACTTTCATTATTTCTTTTTTCTCTCTTTGTTTTGCTCAACCCTTTATTTTGCCGTAAGCGTTTTTTTCTGTCCATTGTACACATTTTTCTTTTGTTTTGATTTTTCCTCATTTTCTTTCTTTCTTTTCTTTCTTTACTGGAATTTTATTTAAAATTTACTTCATACAGAACAAAACAAATCTTTAGATAATCTTCAACCGAACATGTCTGTCAGTGTCTTCTTTTATGAAAAATTAACTAACACTTAAACAGGTAATACACTATGATCTGCGGTTCTAAGAGATTCAAAACCAGTTTAACTAAAAATGAGTTGCCATCTGTGTCATAAATTTTTATTTTCTGCTTCATGTGAAATTAGGTAAAAAAAATCAATTTAGGTAAGAAGAGAAGCCAAAGAGATTTTATTGGTGGGTTTTAACTTTTAATAATAATACCTCAGCTCAGATTGTACTGGATCTCTTACGTCATCTCTGGAGTTAGCTGGGGTTACTTAAGAACAGCTATCTCTCCAATTATCATAAAACAGGTAAATATTCCTGTAGTGTAAACGGAGAGGTGGACTCATGCTTATGACATATACACACACACATTTTGATTTGGATGTACACTATTTTATTTGTTGAAAAATACAATAAAAAAATCAGACCTTATTGGTTGAATTTAAAACTTGTTTAAATGAATTCTTATTGCCTATCTATCTATCAATGTATGTATGTGTGTATTTTATTCTTTGAACATATAACTGGATATTGAGATGTTTATAAATTGACCAAGAAGGGATTCCCCCCAAATTCAGCCAGATTTTAAAAATTTTCGATACCACTTTACACACACACACACACACACAGATTTTCCAAGCGTAGCTTAGATGTGGCACAAAGCCGAAAGTATGGAGGCACCCAGTGAAGATACAATCACATACACACACATATGTGGGCATTTGACTGATGAAATGTTCATTTTACAATACATCCATGTGACCCGTGATTGATTTGTCAGGAAGGTGATGTTATCAGTCTGTAGAGGGGATCTCATATTGTGGCACATCTAGAAAGTGACTGAAAGAAAACCATATCGCTGGTTGCACAAAGTCTTTTGAATGAAATTGGGTAGACAGAACTGTTTGGAAGCCATGGATGGTTGTACTAGCTCTATGTATCTATCTTATATGTATGTATTTTAGGAATCGATTTTTCATTTATTAATCAAACATTTTTATTTTATTTGTTTAAATGTTATTTGTAGTGGATACCCATATTTAAGTAGATGTTCTGTTTATTTATTAAGCACTATATTTATTCATTTCCATCTACTATATTTCCACATTATATTTTTTTTTTCCCCATCTGAATATTCAAGAAAATCATTTTAGAAAAATATGTACTCTCCAGAAGGATTTGACCCCTGCGTTCCCCTAGGGTAAACCATCATTAGATTTGATGTGCTTTATTTAACCTCTAGGTTACAGAGAACCTAATGGTCAAGCGAAGCCTAAATTGTGTATTTGAACACAAACCTTTCCCAATTCTTGAAATATACATCTCTGCTCAGTTTTGTATCCTAATGTAAACAACAGCAATTTTAGGAATGGATTTTCTCATTTATTAATCCGACATATTTGTATTTTATTTGTTTAAACGTTATTTTTAGCAGATACTGATATTTCCTAAGGGAATGCAGGCTTGAATTCTACTGGAGAGCACATATTTTTCTAATAAGATTTCTTGAATATT